CAGAGCCTTTGTTTCCTTGACTTGAACGTTGCCCTCATGCGTCATTCTGAGAGAATCAAAGATGTTCTTAGCTGTGTCTCTGTTGGAGATCTTCTCATACTCAGTATAGGAGATAGCACTGAGAAGGATGGTTCTGGCCTTATGGTGATTCTTGAAATCACGCTTTTGTTGATCAGTCATTGATTTTCTATCAATCTTCTGACCAGTTGCATTCACAGGGTGCGTGTATCCATCTGTCACCATATCCCACAGATCAGCATCATGTGCTAGAAAGAAGCTTTCAATTCTGTCTTTCCAGTAGTCAAAGTTTTCTCCATCAAAGACTGGAGGTTTGCCGCTGAATCTGTCTCTATCCTCATTGTTGTCATTGCTGAAATGAGAGTTGTTTCCTGCCATAGTGTTTTTCTGACGCTGGATCTTTTACTGACACGGTTAAGTGTTTTAGCTCAGAACCAGGCGCTCTGATGCCAATTGAAGGGGTGAAAAACACAAGAAGGGGGGGTTGAATTGTAAAACTGGAAATTTTAAAGCAAATGACAAGGTATTTTTATCCTGGTTCGTTTGATCTCAAACTACTCCAGTCCACCCGTTCAAGGTGATTTCGCCTCTCTCCAACGAGGTCTTAATTCACTATATTCAACTGAATACAAATCTGCTTTAGCAACTGCTAAAACCTTCTTGATTCAAACCACAATCCGGTTTGTCAAGGCAACACTTTCTTACAAAGGAATAATCAAATGTGTGTGAATGTTTCTACAAAAACTATATCACAACTGTGATGTTTACACAAATGAAGCTTAGAATACTAAGTTGCTAAACGCTAATAGAGTATCAGAGTTTGGTGGTTTAGCAAAACTTGTAGAGTGAAGATTACTGTTCAGCTTTTTGCGTGTAGAGAGATTGGAAGCATTAGCCGTTATAATCTTCAAAGCTTGGTTTATATAGCACTTGAGAAGATGAACGTTGAAGCAAATATTCTTGATTCAATGCTATTTACAAGCTTTCCTTTCTGAGCAGATCTTGTCTAGAATGATGCCGTTGGTATTGATTAGCCTTCAATGCACAGTACCGTTGCTTCTTCAATGCACGATCTGGCTTGGCTCATTCTGATTCTGCTTTGCTGCTGATGAACTGATTTGATTCTGTATCAGAGTATTTTACGCGCAGTTCTGTCCATCAAGCTTCAGCATGTGCAAGCGTTGATCTTCTGATCTTGACGTTCTGATTCAGCAACTTCTGATGCTGATGCACAAACTCATATTCTGATGCTGAGAACGTGATCTTGCTTATTTTAATCAGCATATCTGCAAGTCAGAGCATAGTAATTTTAAGTAGCATATAATTCAATCATGAAATATTTAACTACTATATCTTTTCACTTTGTTATCATCAAAACTTAATTATAGGGTACTAGATTCAAACATTGTTCTAACAGTTTATCTGATTCTCTATCAAATGGTATCTCTTCGAGAAAGTTTCGCAAGGGAAGTTTGTCGTAAAATCTTTACAAGTTGTAGTCTCTTTATCTGAGATAGCTTGTATTTTTACCCTTTCCAAGTTAAATATCTTGGTTAAAGAAGAAACTGAGACCAATTTGTGGCTTATAGTCAAGATCTAGGGGAAGTTTATGTGATTCTCCATCAAATGGTATCTCTTCGAGGAAGTTTCGCAAGAGAAGTTTGTTGAGAAATATTTACAAGTGGTAGTCTCTTTATTTGAGATAGCTTGTGTTTTTACCCTTTCCAGGTGAAATATATTGGTTAAAGAAGAAACTGAGACCAGTTCGTGGCTTATAGTCAGGATCGAGGGGAAGTTTATCTGATTCTCCATCAAATGGTATCTCTTCGAGGAAGTTTTGCAAGATAAGTTTGTTGAGAAATATTTACAAGTGGTAGTCTCTTTATTTGAGATAGCTTGTATTTTTACCCTTTCCAGGTGAAATATCTTGGTTAAAGAAGAAACTGAGACCAGTTAGTGGCTTACAGTCAGGATCGAGGGGAAGTTTATCTGATTCTCCATCAAATGGTATCTCTTCAAGGAAGTTTCACAAGAGAAGTTTTTTGTGAAATATTTACAAGTGGTAGTCTCTTTATTTGAGATAGCTTGTATTTTTACTCGTTCTAGGAAGAAAGCTCGGATTTTGGGAAGTTCGTTATTACTCTTTGAGACGGCACCTTCAGTAAAAGCTGATGCATTCTCTTTTCTCCACCTTCAGTAAACGTCGGTGTATGTTTTGTTTCTTTACCTCCATTAAAAGTCAATATTGTCCTATGTTTGTTTTTACCTTCATTCTTGAGTGGGTAGTTCATTATCATTCTTAGGTAAGATTGATCTTTTCTGGTTAGCGATTTCCGATCCCCTGTGTTGATGTTACTCTCTTCTTGCTATCTCCTCTATGAGTGGATAGTTCATCGCTATTGGTTAATTATTGTCATCCATTACTTTCCCCTCAGTTTTGAAGTTTATGTTATTTTGTCTCTTCTCTGGATCTTACTCAATATAGTCAAGTCTTCTATTCCCCAGCGGAGCCAATTTGTCTCCAATAAATTCAAATTTCTATCCCCGGAGTCGTGTTGTTCTCCAGAGATTTAGTATCCTCATTTGAACTCTTTTTGTCAATTTGTAGATTCTACCTTTACTTCTCCAGTGTGTGTCTTGCCCATCTGCATGAAATTCATACGTTACATCCATAATCATAAGCATCGCATGGTATCTTAGGGCCAAAAATAGGGCTTGTTTTATATTTAAGTATCTTCAATCACGTCGAAACGAAGATTTTAATCTTCGTATCTCCGGATAGAAGACACTTAAATAAGGGCAGCTGTTGTACCCCAATTTTTCCCCTAAGATCCCTCGTCATACTTTGTACATTTCGCACATAACATTGGTCTCATGGTTATAAGACCGGTGCACTTTGGCATTAGGGTTTCTCTCTATGGATTGAGTTTGCTATCTTACTCAAAATTGATTCAACAGGCGCTCTCATTTTTATTGGTATGAGATTAGGATTTTGGATCTCAAGCAGCATAGATGTCTTCGCTATCAGGTTTCCTCGAGATACAAATTTTTCTTCATCAAGGTTCTTTCAAGGAACCGGGGTATTAGGGCCTAACTCAGCCAGAGAATCAGGATTTCTCTTCATTTGGTTGGAGCTTGGTAGTGATTCTTCTATGAAGGTTTACTGGGTTAAAGTCTCACTTCAAGGCTACATTGAGCGCTACTCTTCCCTTACTGAAAGATTGCTTTGAGTTTTATCAAGTTTAGATATGTACCGTTGGGTAAGCTATGGGTCAGGAGCTCATTCAGCTCATTTCATCAAATGAAGGTTGGTCGCTTCAAATGCAAGATAACTAGAATCTGTGGATTTAATTGAGATTGAGGTACATAACCTTCATTAGGTCATTTGACGCATCATGCATCATTAGTCAATAGTTTGGCATGGGATCAAGGATCATTGAGATCAAGGTTTCTACATGGTGTAAAGTTTGCATATCAAGAGAGCTTGATTCAACTGGTTTTTTCATTGAGCACAGATTAAGACCAAGGTTTTGAGTCTCTTTAACACACAAGATCATGTCTTCATCAATATTCATCAAAGGCCAAAGGTTTTCAATCCCTTGTGTTCATGCATGGAAATGTTTCAACTGAGGGTCATATGGATTATGGTTTTGTTTAATGGCTATACTGAGCACCCCTCTATCCATATTTCAAGCTCAATCTTCATCTAAATAATTCACTAATCACTTGTTTGAACTTGTATACATTGATTCCTTTGTGGTCTTTGAATCAAGGCATCTAATGCTATAAGGGATCCATCAATTAAGAAAGGGTTTTTGTCATTACAAGATGTGCATTGAGACCTCATAAGAGGAGCTATCTCTCATTAGTTCAGGTGTTCATTCTATTACTTAAGATACATGGTGTAATCTTTGGTCCTTTTTCTCAGGCTACTAGTTGTCTCTTTGGCTATCATACAAGGGTTTGATATATATACATGATGTAGGGAAGCACCTAATGAAATTGAAACTCATCAGTCGGTGTTTTTATAATGTTTACTTAGGAAACAAGATAAATTGGATCTCAAATTGAGAATGAAAGGAAAATAAAAGTTACATTGCGTCTTGAAATATAAGGCTCCGCAAAATACACACAGTGTAAAGGAGATCATCTTGAACTTTTGAAGTTCTTGGTGATGTTTTGTTTGCATTTTAACATGATTATATTATAAAAAGGATTCAAACTCCAATTTCATCACAAATATAATTCAAGGATTACATCCAATATTCAATCAAAAGTCTGAGCACAATTGCATTTACAAGGAGAATGTGAAAATTACAAAGAGAATTACAAATTTGGAATGATTAATCATTGATTTTCTAAATCTTGACATTGACTCCATATACTGATTCTTAAACAAAGCTATTTATGCCTCCCATTTGTTAATCATACCAGTCTATTTCTCCATGGTTCTTCTCGTTTAGCCATGTTAAATTCGACTTAAGTTGAGCCACAAACTCGCATCTGTCGCCGCTGAACAGAAAACCAAGGCCCTGCATCAGTTAAATGACCAGATTAATTTCATAATCAGAAACTAAAAACGAGTTCAATAGAAAAATAGGGGGAAAAGCGTGAAATCCATTCAAACCAAAATTTCAGGGGAGAAATAAACTCAATCCCACCATTCATTCTCCTAACATAATTGAGAAATCAAAGGCTCATATTAGTTCCTCATGTAACATAATCCTAACAAACTTATCAGCTATTTAACAAAACTTCTTCTACACAATTGAGATATCACGATTCAATATTATATTCAGACAATCAGAAGACAAAGGGAGAAAATCTTCAACAGAAAGAGAAAAACTCACAAGGAAACCTTCAAACTCTGACAAACCTTTACAACCAACTCTCCTCATCTTCACTTCTTCATCAACCCTCAACATTATCACCACAAAATCCTCGATGCACTTTAAGAAGCATCATCTTCTTCAACCGCATCTTCACTCAGTATCAAGATCCCTCAAGCTCTGTGCCTCATCAATCATCACCATCAATATCACGTTCTTCGCAGCTTCTTCAATCCTCACTATACAAGACTCTGCAGCTTTCAACTTTGACGACTGACAGAAAGAAATCACAAAACACTCACCTGAGAACTCTCTCTACAATGACTCTCTATTCTTCAACAAAGCATCTTCATCATCGCAGGTCCTTGATCGCTGCAGAAGAATAATCATCAAGCATACACCTTTGAACTCCTCTCCACTTTTCACTGCGTTTCCTCTGTAATCTTCATCCAACATTTCAATCCTCATCTTCAATGCACCATCAATCTTCATCCATCTTAAATCTACAACACACACGCAACAATATCATCAATCCGCACCAAAGAGAAGACGCAGAAAGTAGAAAGAAGAAGAAGGAAAACAGAGATATATTCATATCTGTATACGCAACCTCTGGTTTTCTGGCAACGTCACTATTAAAATTTCATCGGAGCGAGTCCAACGGGTAAGTCAAAGTTCTTCATTCTTTCACCACTTCGCATACTTTGCAAACTTTTCTGCTGTTGAGTAGATTGATATGCACTGAGTAAGAATCCTAAAGGACCGCACTCTGAAGTTTCGTCCATGGCATTTAATTTGGTAATCTAGGGTTCAGTTGTGTCGTTAGAGTTATGGTTAACGGTCTGAAAATTATGAAAGTCAAAGACGGATTTGAGAGTCACGATGGTAAAATAGAACGAATGATATGATGAGGGTGGCGCCGCAGAGAGAATTGAGGTGGAGAGAGTGATGGTAGTGAAATGATGAAGTGGAGAATATTGTGTTATATGATTCTGTTGGATTCGTTGAAGGGGGCAAAAGTCTCCTCCGTGTGAACAGAAACAATCAGAAAGAAGAAAATTAACACTGATTTGAGATGAGGGGGAGAAAGGATGGTTACCATTTTGGCGAGGAAGAAGAGACAGTGGCACTGTTTTCATGGAGATCAAAAGCCACTTCTCTTAACTCTAACAAGAGTCTCCAAAACGACATCCTCTCACTCTTTGCTTCTATTATTTTTCTGAATAAATTGTTAAAAAAATAAGAGAATAAAAAATGAATGGTGGATAAAGTATTATGGACTGGGTTTGATTTTACTGGGCTTACTATCCGTTTGCATCATGAAGCCCATTGTCACTTTGTTGGTCATTGAAGCAAGTACTAAAAAAAAAGCTTCTTTGGAATCATTTCTGCTGGGCCTAGCGCCCAGACTGCTTCAAAACCTCCTGACAGCATGACACCCCCTGATCCATTATAATTCCTATGTTTTTTTTCTATTTAGATTTTGTTTAGTTTTAGTTTAAATTCCTCTTATAATAAAAATAATAGGAAAACACATATAATAAAAACAATAAAAAAATATAGATCTTGGGGATGCCTTTCATCATCTTAGGTAACAAACTGAAAAATTAATAAATTTGTTGAATTTCTCATTTGATTTTTTTAGAAAATTTATTTCTAAATTTTTCGATAACTTGAAAATTGCGATTCACCTTTGTTTGTTGAGTTGAGTCTTATGCAGGTTCATTATTTGATATGCGGATGTGTTTTGGATTCCGATTGTGATTTATTTTCACATCAACGAAGTTTCAACACCTATTCCGAATCTCTGACTGTTTGTTTGTTGATGTCAGCTCACGCGATGTACCTCGGATTTCTAAACTTTGGTTGCGTTTTTTTGGGGACCTCATTGTCCGTTTGGTATTATACTGCTTCCAAGTTATATTTCCGTATTTATCACTTTTCTAGATATCATGAGAAGTAGAAAATAAAGAGCGTGCGCTCGAAGTCGTTGTTTAAAGACCTGTAGCAGACATTCCGCACTTTATTTCTGTTATGTGATGTTCTTGTGTTTGCTTCCTTTCTTGTTGATCGATGAGTCACTTAATTTAGAAATTTATATCACGACTTCGCTCTCAGTGCATTCTCCCTATAGGATTTTATCGCTTTCCTTTATTTCTTGTTGATCGATGAGTCACTAAATTTAGAAATTGAGATCACGACTTCGCTCTCATTGCATGTTCCCTATAGGATAGTTTGTTAGACTTTCTTTGGCATGCTAACTTAGGTAGGATCCTTCATGGTATGATAACATTAGGTTAGGGATAGGTTAGTCTCCCTTAGATGTTTTCTTCCCGTTTTTTTGCATAATTGCACTTAAAACTAAAACTTCTTTTCTTGGCAAATATATAAGAAATGTTAATCATACGAAAACTCTTTTCATGGTAAAAAGATACCAACCAATTCATTTATTTTATCCATTCGGCTTTTCTCTTCTAAGAGCATGTTATCTCCTTTCCACTACAGGTCATAAGTCTCCAAAGGTCGAGCAGCGATGGAATGATCAAATGCAACATTGTTCATTTAAAAAATACAAACAAACAAAATATATGAACCGAACTACGGTAGCTCTGATTCCTCAAAAAGGATACGTAGGCATTGGGGTAGGGCCCATGCGAGTACAACTTTATCTTCCCTACATTCCTTCTCTTTTATTTACATGCATTCCTTCTTAGTTTATAACCCTTAAGCATTAGATTGAACACACCCTTTGATTAGAATAACGAGAGTGGATCCCGTAGATTACTATGGACGTGTGGGGTGCTAATACCTTCCCCTCGCGTAATCGACTCACTTACCCAATATCTCGATCGCAAGACCTTGATTTCCCCTTTAGGTTTTTCTTCGATGATTTTCCTTTCCCTTTTATATGGGACAAATAAATACTCGGTGGCAACTTCATTGATTTTACCGCTACACACCCCACACATCCGTAGTAATCTATGGGATCCACTCTTGTTGTTAGAATCAAAGGGTGTACTCAATCTAATGCTTAAGAGTTATAAACTAAGAGGGAATGCAGGCAAAGAAAACACGTGGAAAAGAAGGAAATATTTAAAAAAATTTGCTCGACTGAGCCCCGTGACCAGATGCCTATGTATCCCTTTTAAGGAATCAGAGTGTCATAGTTTGCCTCATATATTTTGTTTTTTTGTATTTTTTAAATGAACAATGTTGAATTCAATCATTCCAGCGCTGCTCGACCTTTGGAGACTTACGACCTGTAGTGGAAAGGAACTAACATGCTCTTAGAAGAGAAAAGACGAATGGAAAAAATAACTGGATTGGTTGGTATTTTTTACCATGAAAAGAATTTTTGTATGCTTAGCATTTTTTATATGTTTGCCAAGAAAAAGAAGTTTTAGTTTTAAATACAATTATGCAAAAGAGGAAATAAAAGTATAAAGGGAGACTAACCTATTTCTAACCTAATGTTATCATACAATGATTAATCCTAAAGTTGGGCTTTAAAGGGAAATCTCTACCCTAAGTTGACATGCTTAGATAACAGTCCTAATGTCTATCTCAACTCATTATCTATAGATGAATCGAGAAGTCCTAAAGGAGCATAGCAAGGGTCTATCATCTCAAAACATGCACACAAAGGAGAAATCAAGCAAGTGGGCCAATAAGCTCAAGAGAGCACACCTAGAAAGATCCTATCTAGGTTAGCATGCCAAAGAAAGTATAACAAAACTATCTTATGGGGAAACATACAATGAGAGCGAAGACATAATCTTAATTTCTAAATTGAGTGACTCACCGATCAACAAGAAATAAAAGAAAGAAATAAAATCCTATAGGGAGCATGCACTGAGAGCGAAGTTGTTATCTCAATTTCTAAATTGAGTGACTCGTCGATCAACAAGAATCAAAACAAACACAAGCAAGACACATATAATAAATGAAGTGCGGAACAACGACTTTGATGTCCGCAGAAAAATAAATTGGAAGCAGTATAATACCAAACGAACAATGATGTCCGCAAAAAGCGCAACCAAAGAAAAGAAATCGAGAATATTTCACGCGAGCTGGCATCAACAAAGAAACCGTCAGAGGTCGAATATTCGGCATATGTGTCGAAGCTTCATCAATGTGAAAATAAATCGAAATCAGAATTCAAACACATCCACATATCAAATAAGATCCCGCATAAGACTCAACTCAACATACAAAGGTGAATCACAAGTTTCAAGTAAAAAACATTAGGAATTAGTTTCCTAAAGATCAAATGAGAAATCTAACACATTTCTTTGATTTTTTTTAGTCTATTACCTAAAAAAACATTCCTAAAATCTATACTATACTTTTTATTGTTTTTATTATATGTATTTTTTTTTATTAAGAAAATTGAAAGAAATTTAAACTAAACGAAAAAACTAAAACAACAATTAAAAAGAGTCAAGGATGAGGTTAATGTGAAAATCAAGAATTCATGCCCATCAACCTACTGTAGGCGCAAGGCCTAACAGAAATGGGTCCATAAGACCTTTTTGTTCTACATCATTCAGCATATAAACAAAAAATATGATTGGGCTCAGTATGGTGATATGGACATGGCAGGCCCATCGAAAACGAACCATATTTTTTCAATCCACATCAAACTGTTGTCCACCAATTATCTAAAAAAAAACGCAATGCTAAAAACAATGAGACAACGTCGTTTTTCTTTTCTAGGGTTCAAGTTGTGCCTATTGAACTTCTCAGAGCATTTCTCTCTTCTTCAGTTCTCATACTCTCTCAACGGCGCCGCTATTTTCCTTTATCTCACCTCTTCCAATTTGATTCCTCTGAAGGGGTGAAAAACACAAGAAGGGGGGGGGGGGTTGAATTGTAAAACTGAAATCTTAAAGCAATTGACAAGATATTTTTATCCTGGTTCGTTTGATCTCAAACTACTCCAGTCCACCCGTCAAGGTGATTTCGCCTCTCTCCAACGAGGTCTTAATTCACTATATTCAACTGAATACAAATCTGCTTTAACAACTGCTAAAGCCTTCTTGATTCAAACCACAATCCGGTTTGTCAAGGCAACACTTTCTTACAAAGGTATAAAACAAATGTGTGTGAATGTTTTCTACAAAACTTTATCACAACTGTGATGTATACACAAATGAAGCTTAGAAACTTAGATTGCTAAACACTAATGGAGTATCAGAGTTTGTGGTTTAGCAATACTTGTAGATGAAGATTATTGTTCAGCTTTGTGCGTGTAGAGAATTGGAGAGCATTAGCCATTATAATCTTCGAAGCTTTGTTTATATAGCACTTGAGAAGATGAACGTTGAATGCAATATTCTTGATTCAATGCTAATAACAAGCTTTCCTTTTTGAGCAGATCTTGTCTAGAATGATGCCGTTGGAATTAATTAGCGTTCAATGCACAGTACCGTTGCTTCTTCAATGCACGTTCTGGCTTGGCTCATTCTGATTCTGCTTCGCTGCTGATGAACTATTGTTTTTGTATGAGAGTGTTTACGCGCAGTTCTGTTCATCAAGCTTCAGCATGTACGAGCGTTGATCATCTGATCTTGATGTTCTGATTCAGCAACTTCTGATGCTGGTGTATGAAATCAAATTCTGATGCTGAAGAAGTGATCTTGCTTATTTTAATCAGCGTATCTGCAAGTCAGAGCATAGTAATTTTAGGCAGCATATAGTTCAAACATGAAACATATAAATACCATATCTTTTCACTTTGTTATCATCAAAACTTAAATATAGGGTACTAGATTCAAACATTGTT